TTTTGCGTCTGGAGAGAGTGAACAAAACGTTTATTTGATGTTCTGCGCAAGAAAATCGGCGAATAGTATTCTGAAGGCGCTGCGTTAGAGTGCCTCGAGCGTATTGCGGAGACGAACAAGCGCATCTAGGCACGTTAGACACGAGAGCTATCTAGCACTTATCTTTGAAAACGAAGGCGTGCGCGACTGCGGAAAAAGATACGCGCCAGTCACGGAGGTGATAAGGTGTAGAATGCAAAGCGACGAGCAGGTGCCACCACCATGCCCTGGTACCAAAGCGCTGGAAACACCTTCTTGAGCATCGCGTTGCACTGTCAGCGCAGCGCGTTAAACGCTACAGCTCTTAGACTTGATTCTGTGTGGCTTTTCTTGTAGTATAAGGCAGATGTAGAAGGCATAGACATGTTTTTATGGTGCCTCAGATATGCGCAATATTTGCATTCTTTATTTGACAATTTCATGACAATGAACGCTAAACCTTGAGCAATATTGGTGGTCACAGCGGATGGGGTTGGTCGTTTGGTGCCGTTCAAGGTATCGTTAGGGTGGACAAACAGACAAATGTACAGACAGACAGACAGACAGACAGACAGACAGACAGACAGACAGACAGACAGACAGACCAAAACTTTTTCGTCGAAGGTCCCCAAGAAAGACTATCGTCTTTAAAAAACACAAGAGTACGAAATCCCCTAATGCTCAATTCAGTGAGAAAGAAGCAACACGCTTATTGAAAAGGAGCTGCTCAGCGGAACTGGAAATGTCCTTTTTCCAGGAACATTCCGGTATCGACTGCCAGCGAAAAGCTACACAAAAATAAAAAAATGTGAAGTGTTTATGAGCAAACCAAAAGCACTTTGACAATTTCTATTTATATATGTAAACACCTACATCTGGGCGATGTCGTGGTCACCTCCTTAACTTGGCTTGGCATATACAAAAATTTGCATTGCAGGACACGAGTGTAGTGCGAACATGATTCACAAGTCAGGGCAAGAATTAAGCAAATATGCTGCTGCGTACGGCATAGCTGTGGTACGTATACGCGCCACAAGTGACTCACAGCGTACGTATAGCAGTGACAGCGAATTTGAAATTGTGAACGTAATAGCGTGGAACGAGCCCACGCCACCCACAACCCTGTGCCAGCGGCAAAAGGTTGCCGGCGACACAACTCTGCCGACGAGCAAGAAATTCGGACGAACGCGAAGCATGAAATTTACGGCGCGAGTCTCAATGGAACGCACGCATTCTGCGTGGCAGTCAGCCGCAAAGCCTCACCACTGCTTGAAACCACTTTGCAAGAAGCGCCTGTACACAATAGTGATGTCGAAGCAACGCCAGTTGTGTTAAAAGCGTTGGATTTCTGACAATGTGAAGCATTCCTGCGACTCAGTGAAGCGTTACTCGTAAACGCCCACAATACATGGTTGATATTAAGATGATGATTGCTCCGTTACGTCCGATTCGCGCGACGAAACTGATGTCGGTGCTGCAACGTGAGTGACGCTGCATCGTCAGGCCACGAGCCACTCTTTTTCTGCATTCATGCCTGGTGATCACACGATGTGCACACAATGCCTCCGCGCAACGATGTCTGCGATTCTTGGAACATGTGGTACAAAGCGAAAAATACGGCATTTGTCACTCAACTGCACTGCACCACGCCGCGGTGGTCCCGTGGCTAAGGCACTTGGATGCTGACCCGCAGGTCGCGGTATCGAATACCGGCTGCGGCATCCTGGTCGCAGTGGCTGCATTCCCGATAGAGGCGGAAGTGTTGTAGGCCCGTGTGCTCAGATTTGGGTGCACGTTAAAGACCCAAGTTGGTCGAAATTTGCGGAATTTTCCGCTACGGCGTCTCTCGTAATCACGTGGTGCTTTTGAGATGCTAAACCCCTCAAATCAATCAACAAATTCCATTGCGTCAAATTGATCCCCACGGTGCGCGTGATCACGTGAATTTTCGAAAATATATAGCCCTTGTTGCCCCGAGTTTTTTCTGATTCCACTGCACAATGGGTCTGCTGCAATGGCCTGCGATCACGTTCTGGGAAGACCAAGATGTTATACTACACATTCGCCACCGACACGGCCGTGTATACTTGACGCAGGATTGCGCACAAATCCACGTCGCTTAATAACAAACGGAATAACAAAATACTGTTCCCGAACAAATCTAACAATGACGCATCTGCGTAGCGCTACAAGTCGCATAGCAAACATAGTCCTTTGTCGAGGCGTGAAAGGCGTATACCGTATATTCGATTGCACTGGGGGCGCGATGCCACCAGCCCACGGTGCTCGCGCGTCCCCTGTTGGTAAACACTGCTCTAAATCGCGTAAGAAACAACAACAACAACAGCAACAACAGCAACAACAACAACGACAAAAAGGAACGCCGCGAATTCTCGACCGGGCTTTCTAGTTTCATTATAGAAGCTTGACACGTGACTGGGCTAGTAGTATATCGAATGGCACACTGCTGATGACTTCGCATGCAAATGGCTGCCAAACAGATGACAGTTATAGCGCGAAAATAGAACGACGACAAAGGGACGTCGTTCTCGCGCTATAACAATCATCATGTCATACCAACTAACCCCAACCATCACGCTTGCAAAACACGCCCCGCCGCGGTGGTCTAGTGGCTAAGTGTACTCGGCTGCTGACCCGCAGGTCGCGGGAGCGAATACCGGTTGTGGCGGCTGCATTTCTGATGGAGGCGGAAATGTTGTAGGCCCATGTGCTCAGATTTGGGTGCACGTTAAAGAACCCCAGGTGGTCGAAATTTCCGTAGCCCATCACTGCGGCGTCTCTCATAATCATATTGTGATTTTGGGACGTTAAACCCCACAAATCTATCCATCCATCCACACTTGCAAAACAGTGTAACAATATTGCAAATCATTGATCATAACACTGCGACACAGTAGCATTGTTCAGCCCTAAAATGTGTTATGACAAGAATTGAAAACCTGTATTGTATCAAAACTAGCCCATGCACTTCGAACCTTGCAGCAGCGTGTCAATAAATAATTGAAAAAAAAAAACTAAGGCAAAAAACTTTGGACAGGGAGATGTCTATGAAGGGACACTATCTATCCAGGAATATACTTCGTGCATGGTGAATCTGTACATTGTGTTTGCTGAAATGAGCACAATGAACTGCTGCAGTCTCTCTTATGTGGCCATGAGATGTACACAGAGTGGTTGTGCGTTAATAAGAGGATTGAAGCATGCGTTCATCGATTTGTGCTTCCTCCGCTTAGTGAACTGCCTTATAAGGCTAAGATAATCTCACATGATAATGTCTACTTAAAGACGCTCGCTATTTTGATATATTTGTAGCAAAATACTGTTAATGACGCTAGAGCACGAGACAAAGTACGGAAGTTTGCAATAATACATAGGAATACACAAAAAAAATTGTAAACGGATTGGAATCATATAACACTGTTTAACACGCCCGTATATGAGTTCAGATGTGTGTATTATTAGCGTTATAGGTTATGCCATGTGCGTTTTCTTCTTTGTCTTCGATGTCTAAAATAGAATACCTAGGATTCTAGAGATAAGTTGAGGTTGCGCGGTAGCCACAGCGGTGGCCACTGAGAATTTACGACTTAGTCCGGCCGACGCCACAAACAACAATCGTTTGAAAGTTATATAATCCAATGACTTTGTTCACAAGCGTCTGTATTCACGGAATAAATCAGAGATGCGCGAGAACCCGTGACACACCCAGACAATTTGTATACAGTTATTGTGCGGAACATAAAAGCCTTTTTTGTGCTTAAATATATATAACGTCTGGTTTAGTTCTTTCCAAAGTCGTGCATGTATAAACTTGTTTTTTTTAACAGTTGTTACATGGTCGAAGACCCTCAGGCTCATTACGTGTTGGTAGTTGTATAAACCAATACACTTTAGTTCTTCTCTATCTACTCATGATTTTTTTGTTTTTTTCTCATCTTGCTTCTTACATCCCCCAAAAAATTTCGCGGAGCCTGAACAGTGAGTGCCATGTTCCGCTCGCTTCAACAGATTTCGCTCAACAATGAACGTGCACCACGTGCGGCACAAATGAGCCCTCTTTCGTACAGGCAGACGCAGGCTTGTCGGGAGCAGCCTACATCTGCCTGTACAACAACGCGTGCACGCAGGTGAGAGTGCGTCTGTCGCCACGACCGTGAACTACAATGAGAGCGTCCGTGTACAGGCGGGGATGGCACTACAATGAACAGCGATATAAATGCGTATACGTTGAAATAATGCGTAACAATCACATGAAAGACAAGAACGCCCGCTGAAACAAGTGAATTGGGCACTCGAATTTTCGCTATCCGTTTGATGTATCTCGGAACGAAACGTTGGTGGAAGGAATTCTGGAATGCTCTGAACGAAGAGGTGTATACCTGTAGAAATTATGGCAAGCTTTGTGGGGGGCTGAATAGACACGGACATCGGAGAGAGCCTCTGAAACAGAAAATAGAAAGAGAGAGCAAAACAAAAAAGAGAGAGAAAATGCTTCACCTGCAGCCCGAGAGCATTTTGATATAGATATAGCGTTCGTATACCCCAAGCTCGGGTATACAAACAATGAACCTCTGACTTCCACTTACACCATGGCGGTAAAGGACCGAGAGCACGAGTGCCTTTGTATTTCAGTGTGTTTCGGGCAATGTTTATCAAATAAGGCGAGCGAAAATGAGGAGGCAACAGAAGACTTCCGCAGAGAGGAATAGTGCGCCGTAGACGGTCCCAGTAAGACATGAGAGCACCGGTGACGTGCAGATCATCACCACCTTATCGAACAAGTGAAATACGCGAAGAAGTAATAGCAAATGTAACTGAATGAGTTTGCGTCATTGCTGGATACATACCAGACGCGTCGACGCTTGAGGACAGTGCACCCGACGCGTCTGGTATTGTACAGCAGCGCTGTTATGCATAGCTAGTACGTTGTGAAAGTCACGACCTGATCTTTGATTACTCACCTCCGAATCGGTGCGCGAAGAGCCTCGAATGCCTGGCCGCCAGCAACCAGGGGTAAAGCGGCTGTGGGTCCCGAGACACCATGAAGGAGCCCCCGGGTCCAACCAGGTGTCCCAGCGCGGAGGGCGGTGGCGGGTGGTGGTGCTGGAGGGCCGAGCCTAGGTAGGGTGGTGGACCTCGTGACAGCTGGTGGTGGTGCTGCTGTTGCTGCTGGTGATGGTGGTGCTCGGCGACCATGGCGGCGTACGCAGCCGCCAGTGGCGGGAACGTGGCCATAGGCACGGCTACGCCCGTCCCCGGTGGTGCGGCGGGAGGCCTCAGCGAGTCCGGCGAGGCAGCCAGGGAGTCCGGCAGGTGGTGCGCGGTGGCAGCAACGTCAGCTCGCCGCTCGTCGACCGCATCTTTACCGACGATCGACTCGATGGAGAAGCCGAGCTTGGGCTTGTTAGGGGCCGCTGTAGGCATCATGGTCTCCGGCGGTGACACCATGCCTGGCTGCCGGCTTGCTGCCACTCAGCCCGCCGGCATCCGGCAAGTCTCGGGTTGCACGACGAGTTAAACCTGGGCTCAGCACGAAGGCTGGCTCGTCATCGTCGGTGCGCTAGGTAACAGCGACAGCTTGGCTCGCGCGGTCAGTCCGCTCTGGCGTGAGAGTTCCGGTGGGGGCCGGACGGGGAGGAGCTTCGCTGTTGGGGGACGGCGCCGCAGGGAACCATCCCTCCAGCCGGCCTTCCCCGGGCGCAGAAAGGGGCCACTGGCAAAAACAACGCTGCTGCCGCCATCTGTCGTCGGACTGGCCAAGTCCTGCCGCTCGGATTCACTTCTCCATTCGCCATGAAGCGCGACGATTTCGGCTCCTGCGGCTCGCGGTAGCGAGTGGCACTCTCAAATTACACGTTCCTTTCGTTTTTTCATTGCTGCTTGCCAACTTGCTCGCTTTTGAGATACTCCCGTCGTAACATTTCTTGGAGAGAAATCTTTTTGGTCATTCAAGCAAGGAGCATTCCAGGCTTGGCACTGTCAGCTTCCTTTGCACACCTAGCATGTAAGTGACATGTTAGCTACAGGACAATATGACACCACCTACGTTAGACGCAAGTGGTGTCGCGACCACTTAGTTTTGTCTCGCAGTGTCATACAAGTCGTTGAAGGCTATGGTTGTGTCAGCTCTGCAGCAGGGTGTGACAGCAATTGCTAATGAAGAAATGACGTTCGGTGTGATGTGAAAACCATGGTTTTCACCGTCCTTCAAGCATGCACAACCTCTGTTTTGAACAGAATCACGTGTTATTTCGAGAGTGAACTCATTAACTGAGCGCTATTTGCGAATCACTTGTATCAACAACGTAAGTGTTGTTTGAAAAATATTATGGGGGACACTGCTATTGACGTGCTGCTTGTCCGGTGGCATGTGCATGGTTTATTGTCGAAATGGTGTTGACGACATTCTTCGCGAAATTGACGAGTGTTTGTTCTTGACTTGTTTCATGAATTTTTTGCCTCATGTATTCTTCGATGGCTTGATGAAATATATGTAGTGCCGTAGAATGCTCCTTTACTGCACGCAAGTGTAGTGGTTCACGAATATCGGCAAAGATTGGCCCAGCAAACAAACGAAATTGTATTCAGGTTGAAGTACGGGTCAGTAGAGGAGTTCATACTGCAGGGTACATCGCCCACTCCTTTTGTCGCTCTTTATTCAGCTCCTCTTCATCGACATTCATTCTTCAAAATGAATTTCATAGGTATTTGTTAATATGAAAGCGTCGCTGCATATTCGAACACGATATCCAATATGATTCTAGTCGATTCACTGGACGTATCATCATCGAATATTCGGGGAGCACTACATCAGCATGCAATAATGATAATATATCTCAGATTTTACGTCCCAGAATCATGACAAGATTATAATAGATGTCGTGGTGGAGGGTGCCGGCAATTTAGACCATCTGATGTTTTTCAACCTGTACGGACATCGCCGAGTCCATGGGGCTCTACCATTTCGTCTGCATCGAAAAGTGAAAGCAGCGACAGGTATCGAATCCGCGACCTTCGAGTTAGCATCGGATCGCCCTAACCACTGATCGACCATGTATGACACATCTGCATGCATGCAATGAAAGGGCGTCATATTTCACTACACAATTTTGATCAAGTGATCGAAGAAAAGACGACGCGATAAATACATGAAAAGGGTCGAGGAGAAACAATTGTGCAATTTCTCGACATATTTTTTGGTTTCGGTTTGGTTATATTTGATGCCGTTTAAAAGGTTTCTGCCATGTTAGGTTATATTCACACTCGCTTCCCCCTGAAACTGCTATTTCACGAATCTTTACATTCACTTATATTTAGGCAGCGATGATGAAAATTTAAAAAAGAACTATAATAAGTCATAAGGGAACTATAACATTTTAAGCGATGCCACTCCTATAGACTACTTTTTACTGATAAGACGTCATGATGAATGTTGATGATACAATGTTTAATACTGAAAATGGACATTATGTTGAAAACCAAAAAAAAAAAAGATGCAGCTGGAGGAATACCCTCGCTGATTTGATTTGTGGGGTTTAACGTCCCAAAACCACCATATGATTATGAGAGACGCCGTAGTGGAGGGCTGCGGAAATTTCGACCACCTGGTATTCTTTAACGTGCACCCAAATCTGAGTACACGGGTCTACAATATTTCCGCCTCCATCCGAAATGCAGCCGCCACAGCCGAGATTTGATCCCGCGACCTGCGGATCAGCAGCCGAGTACCTTAGCCACTATAGACCACCGTGGCGGGGTGAGGAATACCCTCACAAAAAGATAATTCAGTGAAGGTGGATCAGGTTGCTTTGTCGGCTTCTTTGTTCATGTCGATGACGCCCTAATAACTTACTTTGACATTCAATTACTAGACCACTTCGAAAAACATATTCTCAAGACTGCGCTTGCTTCACGCGATGTTTCTTAGTGTATATACACTGAGAAGTATTGCGATAGGTTTTTACAATATATATACTGAAAATGTGGTTTACGCAATGCTTTTGGCTTGCGGTGCGTAAGCACAAAACAAACAGTAATATGCCCAGATGACAAATAAAAATGGCAAAAATACAAAACAACAAATGTGGTATCAGAGCATCTATAGACACTGCATATGCGCATCTCAATTTGGAAACTCTTGTACCCTGTCCACATCAACTGACAAGCTGTATAGTAAAGGAGGTTGTTGAAGCCCTCTAAAAAGATGAAGTCTTGGTGAAATATGTGTCAGAGTGACATGAGTTTTGATCACAGAGAATTATGTCAGAAATATTGCAGGACCAGTTTTGCACGCCCCGCTAGAGCGCCGAAGTGATGCTCCATCACATTGTGTTTATTCATGAACAGTTAGTACTTATCATGGTGAACTATTGAATTAAGTTTTACTTCGTCAGTGCGTCAAGTGGTCGTGTCTTTCCGCCTCGTACGGTCCCTTATTTTCACTGACGCTGTTTTACTGTATACATAAACCCCAATAATACTTCATCACAAGTTGCATCATTGATTATGGTCACTCGGGCGAAATGCGAGATGCACTGCAGTGGGCTTATGCGAACCGCAAAGAATAATGGGTGGTCGAAATTGATCCACTGTCACCGAGTGCACCCTGCCTCACACTATTCACAACTTATTAAAATGCTCCTTGTGTTGGTAACTCCAATCTGAAAAGACAAAGGATGCGCTTAACACGGTCAACGCGGCACTTTCGCTTGACGCTGTGCCGAGGTTTTTGATTGTGGCGTCGAATCGCGTTGCTTCGTCGAAACCGAAAGTGTCCTGGCCGGCAACCACCTCATTCTCAGCGGCATAAAAGATTTCACTAGCAAACAGCGGAAATTGTAGCTCTGTGCATACAAACGTCGAGAATTTTCGGAGAACGGCATAAGATTTGCTTGAAGTTGAATAGCCTGTCCTGCCAGCCCGAGCTTAAAGAAGGAAACTGGTCAAGCGTAGCGCGCCTCCCCGAAAGGGGCAGACATTTCAGCTCTTCGTTTCTGCACTGCTGCAGGAAAGCCTTAAAGGTTGCCGAGATGACTTTGCACTGTGACTCGTGGTGCCGACTTCATGTATGTGATTAAGCTCTGTTGCTCCGTCAAAAGCTGAATGCGCGTGCAATTTCCTTGATTAAGGAGATGAGCTAAGCCTGCACTGTAAGCAAAAGTTAGCCCGGAGATGGGAGTTTCTCCAGCACATGAGCCCACAAAACTCCCCTGTTCCAATTATTTACTCCCTGGTAGGGAGTGAACTCGGCACATGTCATCGTAAAACGCCCCCTGCGTAATCACAGAGTTTATGAACATGACCTTGTTAAACTCCCCAGGGAGTTTCAGGTCAAGTGGTTACAAACTCCCTATAGGAGCTTTAAAAACCCTCTTTGGGCGTGACGTGTGTGTGTGTGTGTGTGTTTGCGTGTGTGTGTGCGTGTGTGTATGCGCATATGTTTGCACGTCGGTGTGAAACACATGTCCTTTGTGTGGCTAACCGTATGAACATCTGTCAACAGGCAACGAAATTATAAGTGCAGCGAAGAATAGGAACGACCGGTTGGTATTTACTGTGAATATTTCAATATATTTCGCACCGTTAAACCACGCTGCACATCGGTCCGATTCCTCAACGAAACGCCGGGAATGCCGCGCTTCATAGGGCCAAGTAACAAAAAACTTCGAAGAATAAATTAATGGTAGCAAAAGTAGGCTGTTACGATTGTCAGCGGCTGCTCCTGGAGTTTCACCGTGAAAAGTTCGAAGCGGTCTGAAGTAGGCTTCGCTCGACTACAGCAGGCAGGCCAGCAACCGGTGTGAGAGTTGCACCAGCTACACGCTCACCCCGTTCCACCGATAGTGGCTACTTGGAGAGTCACCGGTATTTCACCGGCTGTAACATCTAAGTGGTAAGAACTCGCTATGCCGTCGGTATCAAGCCGGCATCGTATCGAGCTCGCACTGCGCGCCGGCCACCGCGGCAAGCGCTACGAGCTATAGCACCGACCACCGGCGAGGCAAAGAATGTGTTTCACAAAAAATGAAGGCTGCTGGGATGTATAACAGTCTTCTGCGCCTTGCGACCGCAGCTGTCAATGACTAACTACAAGGCGAGCGCCGAACGAGGCGGAGTACCATCGTCAACGATTGCACCGTAAAACTTCGAAGCGGTTAGAAGTACACTGCAAGTCATTTTACACCCTTAAGGGTGGATTTTTCAATAGATCACCCATCTTACACCTATTATTTCTGCCAAACTTATCCGCATGGGTGTAATTTCTGCTATTCCACCTTTTGTACACCCATTTGTAAATTTTAGGTGTATTATAGGTGTATGTTCGCAAATTAGACCCAAGGGTGTTTCCTTGTACGTTACACCTATCATATATGTATATAGTTTAGGGCATCAATACATATCACATCTCAACGGATGCAATCAAACTGCATGTCAAAAGTCTGGTGAAAAGATCGATGTTTCGGCATTCGTTAACATTTCCCGTTTCATTCGCCAAAATATATCGTGCTATGTAATATATTTATTAAACCATCCCTTATTAACATTATTCAGAAGATTCCTCACATGTTCAACGAAC